TTTCACTGATGTAATAGCAGCATTGCACCTGAAGAAACAGACAGATACCTCCCTTTTCTGCTGTCAGCAGGCTTCTATTTGGGTGGCTGAAGTGACACTGTAGCCCAGGGCGCCGCTACCCAGCCTGGTTGCCACTAGAGAGGATGCTAGTGAGAGACCAATGACCACTGGGAGGAAAACTGCTCATTTGTCCTGGTGATCAAGGGAGGGTGGAAGGAGGGATAGGACACTTCTAACTGGGACCAAAGTGACAGGAAGGAGGCATTAATAACCTTAGTTAAGGTTAGGTATCCCATACCAGGGGATTAACTGTGTCAGGAGGGATAGGAGGTTGGGGTGAGGAATTAAGACAGGGCATGAAAATAGTGGACAAGCAAGCGATGTATCTCAGGGATTTTAACGATATCATGAGGAAGGATCGATCTGGGTTCCGTCCACCTAATTCCAAAGACATGGGAACCACAGATAGTGGGCCTTATTTTGAGAAGGGCAGTAGTCATGGTTTGTTTGGAAATAGCACAGCACAATTGAGAGGTCTGCACACACCAGTCTCCGGGTGCAAGTGCCTCCCCAGCTTATTTCCCCCCAGGTTTCTGCCTCAATGCTCAAGCAGTTTCCCAGCAGTGGCCTGAGTCCAGGTCTTTTCAACGTGGGGCCCCCAGTTATCTCCTCAACAAATCGCCATGCTGAGCCAGCTTCCACAATTTCCCCAGTTTCAGTTGGCATGTCAGCTTCTCTTGCAACAGCAGCAACAGCAGCAGTTGTTACAGAACCAGAGAAAGATTTCTCAAGCTGTACGCCAACAGCAAGAGCAGCAGGCTCAAATGGTGAGTGCACTGCAGCAGCAGCAGCAGCAGCACAGGCAGCCAGGCATGAAGCACTTGCCCTCTCATCCCGTTAGGCCCAAGCCACATCTGGACAACATGGTACCCAATGCATTGAATGTGGGGCTCCCAGACCTTCAGACCAAAGGGCCAATACCTGGTTATGGTTCTAGCTTCAGCTCTGGTGGCATGGACTATGGCATGGTTGGTGGGAAGGAGGCTGGAACTGAGTCTCGTTTTAAACAGTGGACCTCCATGATGGAGGGGCTGCCCTCTGTAGCCACACAGGAAGCCAATATGCACAAAAATGGTGCTATAGTGGCCCCTGGTAAGACCCAGGGAGGGTCACCATACAACCAGTTTGATATCACCCCTAGTGACACACTGGGTGGCCATACGGGTACTGCTGGTGATAGCTGGTTACTTGCCAAATCTCCACCAACAAATAAAATCGGAAGTAAATCCAGCAATGCCAGTTGGCCTCCAGAATTCCAACCAGGAGTGCCATGGAAAGGTATCCAAAACATTGACCCTGAATCTGACCCCTGTCACCCCAGGAAGTGTGCTGTGGGGTACAGCCACATCTCCCATTGTAGATACTGACCACCAACTGCTGCAGGATAACACCACAGGGTCTAATTCTTCCCTTAACACCTCGCTGCCTTCACCTGGTGCCTGGCCCTACAGTGCCTCTGACAATTCCTTTACCAACGTTCATAGCACTTCAGCAAAGTTCCCTGATTACAAATCAACATGGTCCCCAGATCCCATAGGACACAACCCCACTCATCTCTCCAACAAGATGTGGAAAAACCATATTTCCTCCAGGAACACTACACCACTGCCCCACCCACCTCCTGATCTGACCAACCCCAAACCATCATCTCCTTGGAGCAGCACAGCACCCCGATCAGTCAGCGGGTGGAGGATACAGGACTCTCGGCTCACCTCGGCCTCTACCTGGAGTGATGGTGGCTCAGTTCGTCCTAGTTATTGGCTAGTTTTTCACAATCTCACTCCACAGATTGATGGGTCAACCTTGAGAACGATCTGCATACAGCATGGCCCACTGCTGACATTCCATCTGAATCTAACCCAGGACACTGCCCTGATCCGATAAAGCACAAAACAGGAGGCAGCCAAAGCCCAAACTGCACTGCACATGTGTGTATTGGGAAACTACCATCCTTGCTGAGTTTACTACTGATGATGAAATCAGCAGCTTTCTGGCACAAGCTCAGCCCCCTAGAGACCTGCAGCAACCCCGAGTGCACCAGCCACAGGGTGGCAGTCGCTGGAGACTGGCCAGAACCAGTCAGATTCCGTGGGACCTGCTCTGAATCTTTTCGGTGGGTCCAGTGGGCTCGGGCAGTGGAGCAGCAGTGCTGATGGCAGCAGTGGGGCCGATCTTGCTGGCGCTTCATTGTGGGGGCCCCCAAACTATTCTTCTAGCTCATGGGGAGTCCCAACTGTGGAAGATCCCCATAGGATGCGCAGCCCTGCTCCTTTACTACCTGGAGACCTTCTGGGAGGAGGGTCGGATTCAATATGAACTTAGAACTTTCGACTGTGACCTCGTGACCTTTTTTGGAACAGCAGCAGCACTAACTTGACCTTTTCGTTTTTTTGTTTTTTTTTTTCCAACTTGCAATAAATACATTTTTAAAAGGAAAAAAGAAAACGGAGAGAAAAAAAGGTGGGTCATTGACAGACTGAGCACATAGTTGCCTCCCTTATAACTTCAGTTTTTTCGTTTGGAATATGAATCTGAAAAGAGAACATACCACTCTTGAAATACTTGAATCATGAACTCCAACCTAGAAAGCCAATGTGAAGGAGGTGCACATACCATTTAAATTTAAACACAAAAAAAATTTTTTTAATAGTTTTTCTCTTTTTTCATGTTATGTGGAAGTTGTTGCTAAGAAACATTAATACTGAAAAAAAGCTTTTTAACTTTGTTTGAAAAAAAAAATTTAACAGGGTCCCCAACCACGCCTCTGCTCCCGCCATTCCACCCACCCTGGGGCGCCCCCCCTCCCCTGCAAGCCAGCCTGGGCCAGCCCCACTTCGGAGCCGCCCGGGAGATCCGTGCGCCCGACCAACACCAGCATTGCGGACCGCAATGGCAGCCGGTCCCGTCAAACAAGTTTCTTCTTAGGCTAAAAAACGCAGTATATACGAGTATCTATATATATAGTACTAATGGATTTGGTGTGCTTTCCCCTTAGCGTCCCCCTCCCTCTGCTCCACCTCCTTCAGCCTGGTCTCCCCGCTTCTCTGCCCTCCACCCCCGTCTCTGCACTGAGATACATAAGAAACAAGGGTAGATTACTGGCTGTTTTGTTTACAAAAAAAAAAGCCCGGCGCGGTGGCTCACGCCTTTACTCCCAGCACTTTGGGAGGTCGAGGCGGGTGGATCACGAGGCCAAGGGATCAAGACCAACAAAGTGAAACCCCGTTTCTACTAAAAATACAAAAAAAAAAAATTAGCTGGGCATGGTGGTGTTCGCCTGTAGTCCCAGCTACTCGAGAGGCTGAGGCAAGAGAATTGCTTGAAACCAGGAGGCAGAGGTTGCGGTGAGCCAAGATTGTGCCATTACACTCCAGTCTGGGTAACAACAGCAAGACTCCATCTCACAAAAAAAAAAAGGTTAATTTTAATTTTTTATGTATGCGGACTATAGCATATATATATATATATATATATATATATATATATATATTTTTTTTTTTTTTTTTTTTTTTTTAAGGCCAGGCACGGCGCGTCACGCCTGTAGTCCCAACACTTTGGTAGGCCAAGGCAGACGGATCACTTGAAGTCAGGAGTTTGAGACCAACCTGGCCTACATGGCAAAACCCTGTCTCCAATGAAAGTACAAAAATTAATTAATTCCAACAATTTAATTAATTGTTGATTTTAATTTTTAAAAGTTATTTATTTTTATTTATTTTATTATTTTTTTTTTTTTTTTTTTTTGATGGAGTTTCACTCTTGTTACCCAAGCTGGAGTGCAATGGCACGATCTCGGCTCACCGCAAGTTCCGCCTCCTGGGTTCAGGCAATTCTCCTGCCTCAGCCTCCTGAGTAGCTGGGATTACAGGCAAGTGCCACCATGCCTAGCTAATTTTTTGTATTTTTAATAGAGACAGGTTTCACCATGTTGACCTCAGGATCCACCCGCCCCGGTCTCCCAAAGTGCTGGGATTACAGGCGTGAGCCAGCGCGCCCGGCTAAAATTTTTTTCATATATAAAATAAAATTTAAAAATTAAAAAATGGAAAGCAAATTAAATAACAATTATTTAATTAATTGTGAGTTCCAACAACTCACAATTAATTAACTCTTGGGACGCTCATTTCTCGGACAGCGGGACCACGGCGCCGGAGTCTCAGAGCGTGTTTGGCGGCCTGGGAGGCGCCTGCCTCCTTTCTCCTTCCGCGGCCCGGAATCTTAGAGGGCCGCGCCCGGCCCGGGGATGCTGCTCCGGTCCCGGAGGCCACCGCCCCTCGCACCCCCCGCGCCACTGTCGCCGACCAGCCCCGACCGCGAGTCGAGGCCTCCCGGAGACGCCCCGGCGACCCCGCCCCGGAGGCCCGCCTCGCCGAGCGCACTAGGGGAAGTCATGTCGCCGGTCTCCCCCGGCTCCGCGCAGCACACACTGTGCGGGAGAAGGAGCTGCTGCTGGAGCCGGGCTTGTGGCGCGCGCTGCTCCTGGACCGCTGCCAGGCGCTGCCCACCTACCGCCGAGTGTCGGCCACGCTGGCCAGGAATTAGGTGCCCGGCACCCCCGCGCGGTGCCGCCACCGCTACAAGTTCCTAAAGGACAAGTTCCACAAGGCGCACTGCAAGCCTTCCGGGCCCTTCGACGACCCGATCCGGCAGCTCATGGGGCTGCTGGGCGACAACGGGTGCAAACGGCCCCGCCGCCGCTCCCCGGGACCCGGGCGCCCCCAGTGCGGCCGCCGCCCGGCCCCCAGCGCGCCCGCACTCGCTCGGAGCTTACCAGGCGCCGCACAGCTGCCGGCAGCCCGCGACCCCGACGCGGACCCCGCCTGGAGGTTCAGCTTCAGCCCGTCCCCGCCGAAGTCTGCGGATGTCGCCAGCGCCCCCGGCTCCCCGCCAACCCCCTTCCCGACAGCCCTCGCCACCTGCCTCCCGGAGGACCGCCTCCAGGCCCCGACCCGACCCGCGAGGACCCGGACTCGCAGCTGAACAGCCTCATTGGGCAGCAGCAGCTCCAGCTGCTGTCCCACCACGCCCCTCCTGTGCCCCTCACCCACCGCCCAGCCGGGCTGGTGGGCAGCAGTGCCACCGGGTTGCTCGCCCTGTCTGGAGCCCTGGCTGCCCAGGTTCAGCTGGCCGCGGCTGTCAAGGAGGATTGTGCAGGCGTGGAGGCTGAGGGGTCCAGAGTGGAGAGAGCCCCGAGCAGGAGTGCGTCTCCCTCACCCCCCGCAAGTCTGGTGGAAGAGGAGCGACCGAGTGGCCCGGTGGTTGTCGGAAGCAGAGAGCCGATGAGAAGGAGCTGTCAGGACCTTATGAAAGCAATGAAGACAAGAGTGACTACAACCTGGTGGTGGATGAAGACCAACCCTCAGAGTCCCCCAGCCCTGCTACCACCCCCTGTGGAAAGGCAGCCATCTGCATTCCTAACCATCGGGACCTGGTGAATAGTCCAGCCTCCTTGGCCTCAAGCCTCAGCTCACCGCTACCCAGAGCCAAGGAGCTCATCCTGAATGACCTTCCCACCAGCACTCCTGCCTCCAAGTCCTGTGACTCCTCCCCACCCCAGGGCGCATCCACCCCGGGGCCCAGCTTGGCCAGTCACCTATGCCACCTCGCTGCCAAGCCAGCGCCTTCTACAGATAGCATTGCCCTGAGAAGCCCCCTGACTCTGTCCAGTCCCTTCACCACATTGTTCAGCCTGGGCTCACACAGCACCCTCAATGGAGACCTCTCCGTGCCCATCTCCTACATCAGCCTCCACCTGTCCCTGCAGGTCAGCAGCTCTGTGGTATACGGATGCTCCCCCATGATGGCATTTGAGTCTCACCTGCATCTCCCAGGGTCATCCATCTCTTCCTCACTACTCAGCATCCCCAGAGCAAAGCTGGCCTACTCCTTACACGTGTCTGCAGACGGGCAGATGCAGCCTGTGCCTTTCCCCTCAGACACACTGGTGGGCGCAGGAATCCCATGGCACGCCCGGCAGCTGCACACACTGGCACACGGCGAGGTGGTCTGTGCAGTCACCATCAGTGGTTCCACGCAGCACATGTACATGGGTGGCAAGGGCTGCATGAAGGTGTAGGACCTGGGCCAGCCTGGGGCCAAGACACCCATGGCCCAGCTCGACTGCCTGAACTGAGACACCTACATGACAACTACATTCGCTCCTGCAAGTTGCTGCCAGATGGCCAGAGTCTGATTGTGGGCGGTGAGGCCAGCACCTTGTCCATTTGGGACCTGGCAGCACCCACTCCCCGTATCAAGGCAGAGCTGACCTCCTTGGCCCCAGCCTGCTATGCCCCGGCCATCAGTCCCAACACCAAGGTTTGCTTCTCCTGCTGCAGCGATGACAACATTGTGGTCTGGGAGCTGCAGAACCAGACGATGGTCAGGCAGTTCCAGGGCCACACGGATGGCGCCGGCTATATTGACATTTCTGATTATGGCACTCGGCTCTTGACAGGGGGCCTGGACAACACGGTGTGCTGCTGGGACCTGCGGGAGGGCTGCCAGCTGCAGCAGCACGACTTCAGCTTCCAGATTTTCTTACTGGGCCACTGCCCTAACCAGGACTGGTTGGCGGTAGGAATGGAGAGTAGCAACGTGGAGATCCTGCACGTCCGCAAGCCGGAGAAATACCAGCTGCACCTCCACGAGAGCTGTGTCCTGTCCCTCAAGTTCACCTCCTGTGGACGGTGGTTTGTGAGCACAGGGAAGGACAACTTGCTCAACGCCTGGAGGACATCATACAGGGCCAGCATTTTCCAGTCTAAGGAATCATCCTCTGTCCTGAGCTGTGACATCTCCAGGAATAACAAATACATCATGATGGGCTCGGGGGACAAGAAGGCCACCATGTACCAGGTGGTCTACTGAGCCCCCCATGTTCCTGCACCTGAAGTCCAGACTCCTAGGACTCGTGGGTTCAGGCACCACGAGTGCCTGGAAGCAGCTCCAGGACAGGCACCCAGCAGGCGTCTGCCCACCTTGCCTGTGAGCCCTTAGTACCATCTGCTCTCTGGCCAGCGGGTTCACCCTTGCCACATGTGGTGGCCGCTGGGCAGGGGGCCTTGGGGAAAATAAATGTATTATCAAAAAAAAAAAGCATGGTGGCTTACACCTGTAATCACAGCACTTTGGGAGGCCAAGGCGGGTGGATCATGAGGTCAATAGATCAAGCCCATCCTGGTCAACATGGTGAAACCCCATCTCTACTAAAAATACAAAAAATTAGCTGGGTATGGTGGCTCCTGCCTGTAGTCCCAGCTACTCAGGAGGCTGAGGCAGGAGAATTGCCTGAACCCACGAGGCAGAGGTTGCAGTGAGCCAAGATCGCGCCATTGCACTCCAGCCTGGGTAACAAGAGCGAAACTCCGTCTCAAAAAAAAAAGAAAGTACCTGTACTTTCTTCTCCTGGCTTACCAGCCAGAGACGCTGACAGGTGCTGGCCACGCTGGAGCCACTGGGACCCCCGGAGGACATCACCTGGGCCCTGTGGCTCTTTTCTGAGCAGGAGAGGTGGAGATGCTTGTAGCAATTATGCCTTAGGAAGGGGACAGTCAGGCCCTGACACGCTCTCACACACAAACCCACTCACGCACCTGTGATGCCTGGCACAGGGTGGATGGTGTGGATGGAGCCAAAGGCCCCCTCGGCCTCCTGGCCAGCTTGGGGTGTGCAGGACACTGGGGCACCACTCCTCACTCACCCCCAGGCTGGGGGTTCACCACTCCAGCTGGCCTCAGCCCGGGGCACCCTGGAAGGCAGTCGATCGGTGGCAGGGGCGGCTGCCTCTGGCCGCCTGGCTGTGGCCGTGTGCCTGGGGCTTGGGAGCTGCTGGTCACACTGCCGTGGACTGAGTGTGCTGCATGCCCATGCACCACCCATTCAGGGTTTTGAATAAACAATTGGCAACAGAAAAAATAAATAAGTAAATAAAAATAAAAATAAAAGATTAGACAAAGAAAATGCCTAATTTTGCATCCTCCACTCTAAAAAGTTTGCTTTTTTCTTTCTAAAAAGAATGCATACATTTCCAACCTAGTCCTACACTACCTCTCCTCAAGTGTGTGGGCAAGTAGGCTGGCATCTAGAGTCAAAGTGAAAAGGGCAACCCCTAGATGAAATCTCAGACTGGCTTAAAAGATAGGAAGTGATAGTTTCTAAGGGCATGAGAAGTCTGGTATGTTCAGTTTTAAGAGACAGGTGAAAAGTTTACTGTAGATACGCAGGGTGGGTGGAAAATATTCCTGATCAGTAATTGGGTTCTCCCTGGAAACACCCACATTTCCTTGGAGGTTTCCAACAGACAGAGATGAGATCCTTCACAGGAGGATTAGATATAGTGGCTGCAGTTAGATAGTAACTTCACATTTCATTGGACGTTTTATATGAGTGATAAGAATTTATTTACTGTGTAGTGTTTAAATATTTCTAAGTTTTATGAACTAGTTCCTCCTGTGTAAGCTATTTAAAAAGTTTACTTTTTTCTTTTGTTAAAACTATTATTTGGTTACAAAATTACCGGATTTAAAAAACGTTTATTTTTCAGATTAAAAAGTATAAAGAAGCAGAAAAATGGCCTGTAATCGCACAACTTATACTACACAATGAATACTATAATCGCACAATAAAAAATTTTTTTATTTATTTTTTTCTTTTTTTTTTTGAGACAGTCTCACTCTATCACCAGGTGCCAAGCTGGAGTGCAGTGGCACAATCTTGGCTCACTGCCATCTCTGCCTCTGAGATTCAAGCAATTCTCCTGCCTCAGCCTCCCGAGTAGCTGGAACTACAGGTGCACACCACCACACCCAGCTAGTTTTTGTATTTGTAGTACAGATGCGGTTTCACGACATTGGCCAGGATGGTCTCGATCTTTTGACCTCGTGATCCTCCCTCCTTAGCCTCCCAAAGTGCTGGGATTACAGGCTTGAGCTACCACACCCGGCTATTTTTTTTTTAAGACTGTTTCTCTTTGTGGTTCAAGGCTCTGTCTCTGTAGTAAACTGAAATGTTAACAGAAATGTAGCTGGGCCCCTCCCGGCATGGTGGGCACTTGGGGCAGGAGGTGGAGCTCCCCGGTGGGGGCGGGGCTAGAAGGTGGCCTTGGAGTGTCCAAAGATGCAGATGGAGAAGTGCTTCACGTGGGAGGACCACTATGTGGCCAGCTGGAAGAACTTCACATCGCTAGACTCCACACCATAGGTGAGGACCCGAAGCATGTTCTGCTGCTGCTTGGCGGTGCAGATGAGACGGCTGATCCCCTCGAAGTACTGGCTCTTCAATTCCACATCCTTGCCCTTGGCTTTCATTTTTGTTTTTTTTTTTTTGTTCTTTTTGTTTTGGAAGGAATCAAGATGGCGCTGTGAGAACAACCCAGGATTGGAGCTCTCGTTGTGTCCGCGGAGAGGTGAGTCTGAGCTGCATTTCCAGACTGATCTTTGTTGCCCATGGAACGGGGAAATTCCCAAGTGAAAAGGAGATGCAGGACGCCAGGCAGAACCACCGCCTGGCGAGGCCGGCAGCCGGGGTGGCGGTGGCCAGCCCTGCCCAGCGCTACCCACAGGGCGCGCTTGTCCGGGTGCCCTGTTGAACTGGGAACTGGAGACGTGGGAGGGCTGGACTTGAGACTGAGCTAGACTTGGACAGTAGGCCAGCCCAGGGGATTACAGAGACAGAGCGTTAGGGGTGGCCTAGTGGGAGGAACAAAACCACGATTTCAAACAAGCCCCGAGCAGACGGCCCGGGATGCTCTGTGGGGGAGGGGCGTCCACCATTACCGAGGCAACCCGCCCCAACTGAGATACACTCCCATTGCTGACGCAGCGAGCCATTGCCGAGGCAACCCGTCCCTACTGAGATACACGCCCACAGCTGATGCAGCCTGCTGTTGCCGAGGCAACCCGCTAAAACAAAGAGACTCCGCCACAGGGCCTGGTGGAGAACACAGCAGAACAGCGGAGCCAGGGCGAGCCTCAGGACAGCAGGGCAGAGCCTCGGCAGGCAAACAGTGGCTAGTCTATGTCCTAGCTGGGCAGGACCTCAACGGACATCCAAAAATAAAGCCCAAACCCCTCAACACAGAGCATTTGAGAAAAAAAAAAAGGGGGGTTTTAATGAGCTCTGTTGCAGCAGAATCAAACATAGCAGCCTAACAGCCCTGAATGAACAACAGAGCTCACAGCTCAGCAATTAAGCCCCTATAAAGTACAAACTGTCTCCTCAAGCAGCTCCCTGACCCCTCTATATCCAAAAGACTGACATTAGGCAGGGATCATCCTGGGACAAAGATAGCAGAAAAAGAAACTGGTAGCATCCCTCGCTGTGCCACAGCAGCTAGAGGTGCACCCCAGACAAGCAGGGTCTGGAGCGAACCTCAGCAGTCGTACAGTGAAGGGGCTAGACTGCTAGAAGGAAACCCAAGCAACAGAAATACTTCATCATGAACATTTTGGGTGTCCACTCAGAGACACAATAGAAAAGTCAGCAACTACGCAGACGACCAGCGGACAAATCCACAAAGATGGGAAGAAACCAGCACAAAAAGGAGGAAAACACCTGAAACCAGAACACCTCGCCCCCTACAAAAGACCAAAATTCCTCCCCAAAAAGGGAACAAAGCTGGACAGAGAATTACTGTGACGAAATGATGGAATTAGACTTCAGAAGATGGATAATGAGAAACTTTTGTGAGCTAAAAGATCATGTACTAAATCAATGCAAAGAAACTAAGAACCTTGAAAAAAGATTTGAAAAAAGATTGGAGGAAATGATAACAAGAATGGATAACTTAGAGAGGAATATGAATGAATTAAAGGAGCTGAAACACACAATACGAGAACTTCGCGAAGCATGCACAAGTTTCAATAGCCGAATTGACCAAGCAGAAGAAAGAATATCTGAAGTCGAAGACCAACTCAATGAAATAAAACGAGAACCAAGATTAGAGAAAAAAGCGCAAAAAGGAATGAACAAAGTCTCCAAAAAATGTGGGACTATGTGAAAAGACCTAACCTACGTTTGATAGGTGTACCAGAAGGAAACGAAAAGAATGAATCCAAGCTGGAAAATACTATTCAGGACATCATCCAGGAAAACCTCCCCCACCTAGCAAGGCAGGCCAACACTCAAATGCAGGAAATACAGAGAACACCACAAAGATATTCCTCAAGAAGAGCAACCCCAAGGCACATAATCGTTAGATTCAACAGGGTTGAAATAAAGGAGAGAATACTAAGGGCAGCCAGAGAGAAAGGTCGGGTCACCCACAAAGGGAAGCCCATCAAACTCACAGCAGATCTCTCAGCAGAAACACTACAAGCCAGAAGAGAGTGGGGGCCAATATTCAACATTCTTAAAGAAAAGAACTTTCAAACCAGAATTTCATATCCAGCCAAACTGAGCTTCAGAAGTGACGGAAAAATAAAATCCTTTGCGAACAAGCAAGTACTCAGAGATTTTGTCACCACCAGGTCTGCTTTACAAGAGCTCCTAAAAGAGGCACTACACATAGAAAGGATGAACCAGTACCAGCCATTCCAAACTCACACTGAATGCTAAAGAGCATCAACATAATGAAGAATCTACAACTAACAGGCAAAACAGCCACTTAGCATCAAAATGGCAGTATCAAATTCACACATAACAATATTAACCCTAAATGTAAATGGACTAAATGCACCAATCAAAAGACACAGACTGGCAAATTGGATAAAAATCCAAAACCCATCAGTGTGCTGTATACAGAAAACCCATCTCACATGCAAGGATACACAAAGGCTCAAAATGAAAGGATGGAGGAAGATTTACCAAGCAAACGGAAAGCAAAAAAAGCAGGAGTTGCAATTCTCATCTCTGATAAAATAGACTTTAAA